CCCCCCCCCCCCCCCCCCCCCCCCCCCCCCCCCCCCCCCCCCCCCCCACTGAGCGACTTTTCGGCCGGCGCGATTTTCAAATTTTCGGGAGCAAAATATTTTAAAACCCCCCCCCCCCCTTGAAAAAATCCTGCGTACGCCCCTGATAGGTTTATTAGCGTTTTTATATCTTTTTTCCTTTTTTCCCTTCTAATATTTTGCCAGTATTCTTTCTCCTTTTTTCTTCTTCATTTCTTTTCTTGTCTTTCCTTTGCTTTCTTTCTGTTTTCCTTATCACTTCCATATATTTCATGCTTTTCTCCATTTTTTGTTGACTAAATTATCTTAACGAATGTCTTGAGTTCTGATGTTGATTGGATTGTATTCTGAGAGAAAATGGTTTTCATGATTGAATATTTCTTCATAGGTTTTTTTTCTCAACGCAGTTTCAGTAGATTAATTGTTTCAACTAACAAAACACATCAAAACAGTCCAGTGAAAACTTGATAGAAATCGAGTCGCATTCATAGAAGAGTATTCCGTCTAACAAAACATTGGCCCTGTTAAACTATTAAAAAAAAATAATTACGATAATTTGACATACCAAAAGGACATACTATATAAACAGTGCCATGCCCATCACATCATGTTCGATGTGAGGGCGAAATAAGTCTGTTCAGATAGGTTAGTCATCAGCTTATCAAAGACAACTCGGAAATTAAATAAAAATGAAAGGTACAATAAATAGAGATTTCTTCCCTGGCATCATCTAACCATTAATGCTTTCATTTAATATTGTCATCTATTTCTTACATCTTGATGGCCACAGAGTCACAGTGGTCGAGTCACTCGCTGTTTACTGGGCCAACAGGTATTCGAATATTGTCACTGGAGGTATGTACATATGTATTTTCCTTATTTTTCAATATGTGACTGTTACAGTTGAAGATTTGTTTTTCATTCTGATTCTCTAATGAACAAACGCGATTCTAGAGTGGGGGGGGGGGGGGCTCGAGCCCCATCAGCTTATCTTAATAATAACTGAATTAAAGCGAAGAACAGGCAAGAAATGAATGCAGAAACACCAAGCCCTTCAGCCCAACCAACCCCTGCACATGGAACTTTGATCTCATTTATTTAATTTATATGAGAAAAGAGAAAATACTGTGTCACTGAACCGGTCATTTTCCAGATCTAGTAAGCTAGTTTACAAACAGTTTAGAAACCCTACTTTCGCATTTACGTATACCCTCAAGAACTGTACGGACAAAGAATCATATCGGAGCAAGCACCCACTTAAAACACTGCCGCCTCATTAAAAATGCATTTTAGAAATGTGTATCTTAAAATGTATTAAAAAAATATCCGTTAATTTGAATTCAATTTCATCGTCTTGGTGCGTGAAAGGACTCAAGTCTTTTTGTAGTTTGTTGCTTATTCGGCAAAGCGAAAACTTCAACGATTGACTTGAACTCATGTGGAGCGTCCGCCTCACAACCGGGAGGTCGTGAGTTCGAACCCCGGCCGCGTCATACCAAAAGACGTTAAAAGATGGGAGTTGTTGCTACCTTGTTTGGCGTTCAACAATAAGGGATAGGGCAACGTCGATCTGGCGCTGCTCAGTGGCTGCCGGGCTGACGATCAATTGGGCAAAAAGAATTTCCATTTTCGGTTTAACTTAATAAAATTTGGAGAGGACTTTGAAAAGATTATTATTATTATTATTATTATCTTGATAATGTTGTCACCATTTCTTTCAAGCTGGAGGCATTTATAACTGCCCCGAGACTTTCGAATTTCCGCTGGAGAGAGACCAAAGTTACGCAAACGTCGATCTCGACGAGGCCCTCGGCGTCGGTGCTCCCCCTTACGACATCATCGCAGGACCCGTAATATCGAACCCGACACGCCTGGACTTCAGCGCCGCTTTGAGGGAGGGTGTGACAGTGACTCTACGGATGACAGGAGCGATGGATACAAGCAGTGATTGCTCATTTCAGCTTATCTTAATAGGTCATTATCGAAATTGTATTCATTCTATAATTATGTTGTGCCTGTATCGCATGGAAAATGTATGGTCCATTTCAAGCGTTATGGAATAATATTGCCCGAGAATTTTGGGGATAGGGGGATGTCGGACCATATTTGCCGCCTAAGCTGCAGACATTTCATCACATGCCGACAAAAAGTCCTCAGAATATGTAAAATAATTGTTATGACGTGCGTAATAACAGATTTTCATTATACAGAACAAAATTACTACTTGTCATTGTTTTTATTTGTCGACACGAGATTATCGTATTTTCCGAGAGCAACGTGAAATTTGTAGACAGAAATAATGGCAGTGGTGCCACCCCTCGCACCTAGGCCTACTCTAGCGACGCCCCATATACATATCTAAACAGTGGGATGAAATGTGAAGGGGGTGAAGAAGGGGAGGAAGCGTGCAATTTCTTTTCGCATTCCTTTCCCATCTGTCATTGTTTTCTATTTATCCCTACTGTCATTTTCTCTTTTCCCTTTCATTATGCCATTCAACTGGAAGAGGGCACGTTTCCCCCTGTCCCCGTAGCCACGCCACAGAGAATGGTCCCCACTTAATTTACTCCCCCACTGTCTTTACCCCCCCCCCCCTCCAGATAACCAAGCGCCGAACATAATATGTCCAGGAAACCGGGAGCTCCATACTTCCTCTTCAGACATCGAGGTCTTCTGGCCTCCAGCGGTGGCCCGAGACAATGTCGGCCTCCGCTCCATTAACCCTATCACCTACTCGCACATCAATGGGGTCAGACTACCTGTATCACCCGACCCAGTCATCATCACGGCGACGGCTTATGACACATCCGACAACGCGGCCACGTGCGACTTCAGGATCCTGGTTGGAGAGCAAGGTAGGAGAATGGCAAAACGAATAAGTGAAAGGAAGAGATCTGGCACCCGTTTCACAAAGCCTTTTTTAATGACAAATGACAAAAATCAGTGAAAAATCTGCTGATAACCAATCAGAAGCAAGGATTTCAGTAGCTTATAACAAGAACTGTAATTTGTCTCTGATGACAAGTTTTGTGAAACACCTCCCAGTTCAAGCTTCACTTTACCATGCTCATGACCAGGGGCGTACGCAGGGGGGGGGGGGGGGGGGTTGGGGGTTCAAACCCCCCCTTTGGTATTTTTATGTGTGTAAACCACCCTAAAAAAACTAAACCCCCCCTTTGTTTTTTTTGTTTGTTTGTTTGTTTGTTTGTTTTTAATTTAAAAAAAAATGAATAAGATCTATCGTCATGAGCAGGGGCGTACGCAGGATTTTTTCAAAAAGGGGGGGGGGGGTTTAAAATCTGGCCCAAAATATTTTGCTCCCGAAAATTTGAAAATCGCGCCGGCCGAAAAGTCGCTCAGTGGGGGGGGGGGGGGGGGGTAGAGAGCCCAACCCCCAAAAGGGTAAAAATCACGTGATTTTACATGATTTTTTTCTCAAGGGGGGGGGGGGCCCGGGCCCCCCGGGCCCCCCCCCCCGGATCCGCCACTGGATGTAGGTTTGGCCAGGATGTATGATCCCCGCTCAATAACAAACCAAACATCGCATTTACTTCTCCCACAAGGCGACAACGACAACCTCATCATGATTGACTGTCCCGTCGACGAGATCGTCACCTTCCCACTCGATGTCGGCACCAGTCACAGTACCATTGATCTTGACATCCAGGGCCGCGACGCCAGCGGTCAGACGGTGCCCGTCTACCGTACCGAGGGACCCACCGATGTCATCCTACCAGGGGTGGTGGAGTACTCGGAGAGGTTCAGGGACGGGCAGCGCTTCACCTTCGTGGCTGAGGACCCCGTCACGAGAATGAGTAGTACCTGCAGCTTTGTGGTAAAACTCGTAGGTAAATACAGCAGATTTTCAATGATTCACTATCCTAACACCCCAAACTCCCCAAAGTTAGAATAATTTTTGTTTAAAATCCCGCGCTTTGAAAACTGTAATGATTAATGTCATGATTTGTCACGTTATGACGAACCCTAAGACAACCCTTTTGTATTTAGGGAATCTTGTCGCCTTCCTCTGATTTGATATTAATGGGATACAAGAAGGAAATAAATGTATTTGGTGATTCTTAAGCGGACTTCCAGACTTCCGAATTGTAAACTCATGGCCTCTACTTTGGCACCGCATGCCTTATAGGTTATGTATCATCGGAAGTAAACAAATGTAATGGAGACAGGTAAGGAGACGCGATGGCTCAGAGGTAGAACAGTGGTCTCGTAACCGGGAGGTCTCGGGTTCGAAGCCAAGTCAATGTGCTAGTGCCCTTTGGTAAGGCAATAATCCTTATTACCAAGTCCCTCGGAGAGGACTTAAAGCCGTCGGTCCCCTGATTGCTTACTTATAAGCATACATTTGCTTTCTTAGCAGTCAGGTAAACAAACCAATCAAACCAAACCAACCAATCTGTTGATTTCCACCTTGATTTCATATCCAAACAGACGACGAGAGTCCAACCATCAAATGTCCGGACAATGTCGAAGTGCGAACGACCCAGGACATGACTTCGGTGACGTGGCCTCCTGCCACCGCCATCGACAACCTTGCCGCCCCTAGCAACATCACCATCTCCTATCGCCCCGAGAATGGTGCTAACCTTGAAGCTACTGACCCACCTAAGATAAGCGTCATCACAGCCGAAGCCAGGGATTTATTCGACAATGCTGCTCAGTGCCAGTTTATCGTCGCTCTCCAGAAAGTCGGTAAGTAGTTATTTTGATAACTTTGACTGATTGGCCGTTAAATGTCGACTGTAAATCATTGCAGTTCCTCAATGCATGTTGATATGATAAAATGCTCCCATAGGAAATATTTCTGTAATGATCGCCTGTTGAATATGGTTTGAACTCTTTTGAACTGAAGGAATCGGTTGGCAAAATGGCTTGACGCATCATGTGAAAACTGCGCCAATCTAGGATATACAGGCATACCTTGCACATCATTGACGCATCTTCAAGCCAATGGCGCATCTTCTTGACACAGGGGTGACAGGAGCCTGGCTACTGATCCATTTATTCGCGAAATATGTAAGAATTCATGACACAGTATACAGGTGTACAATATAGATAAATCCTTGCATTTGATAAACACTCGTCAGTTTCAATAGATCAATAATTTACTAGGCATGCGTTAAAGGTGAAATTCAAAGAAAATCACAAATTCGTCAACTAGTGTATCACTAGAAACTGGTAAGCTAACATCTGGCCATCGTACAAGTTTTAGGTCAACTACATGTCGGGTGATTTATAAAAATACAAATACAACCACCTCCATAGCAGCTGGGATATACGAGAGATTCGCCCGAAAAGTAACGATGTTTTAATGACGTCACTATATGGACCAATACTGCCCAAGCAGACGACATCCCGTAAAGAATGAACATAATTGCAAAGCTATTATTTGTCAAATTATAATGAGTTTAGTGTATATAAATATAATGTCATGTCAAACCATTCAAAAGGGGATATGACCCGATTCTGATAACTAAAATCTTTCGCTTGTAAATACACAGGATAGGGGTTAATTAACAATTAAAGAAACCAGACTTTCAAATTGAAATACCACTTGAATGATATTTAGGACGGCATTTGTTCTCTCTTGAAACGCCGAACATACCGCGGTGTGTGCAGCTGAATATACAATGGCGTCTTATTTTGTTTACAAGCGACATATTCCTTTATTTTTGTATCGCTGCATTTGACATCAAAATAAAACCATGCGCGGGGTTTAGAGTGAGGCAATAGATAATGTATTTAGCCTGACGGTAGTGAAGTAAGAGAAAGAACTAAAGAGAAGATGAAAATACAGGCACTGAAAATGTGTGAGATGTCATGGGACATCGTCTGCTTGTGCAAATCATGTCCAAACTGTGATCTCACACATCTCAGCAGCGTTCGGAGAGCTCTTCAGGTGATATAGCGGGCTGTATTTAAGCGTTTTGTAATTTATAATAATCATTACTTCGAATGTTTCCAAGCAAGGAATTTTGATAACCTTGTCGAATCAAAGTTTCAACTTTGCAATAATGAAAATAAAGTTAGTTTTTAAAATCAATGAATATCTACTTTAAGAAATTCCGTCTGTACCTGTCAAGGCCTGCATCTTTGCATGGATGTGACTGTAAACCTAATTATTATTGATTTTTGCATAACTAAACATTCCTCGTTTCCTTATCTCATGTTCATTTCTCAGCTGCCGATTGTTCGTCATTTCCCAGTCTTCCCGACGCTTCGGCTACGTGCCTCACGACGTCATCGGGTCAGGCGCAATGCTATGTGTCATGTGACCTGGGATTCCGGTACGTCATGACCTCTAACCTCTTCGTCTGTGAGATAGGAACCAACGGCGACGCTTACTGGAACCCATCACCTAATGAGGCCATGTGTGCAGGTAAATTATAATGCCCTTTAGACAGCGTGTCCATGTCTTGTGGGTGGCTTTCCAGTACCAACACAAAGAAAGATGCACGTGTACAAAAATCATGTATCATAAGCGTTGCGTCCCAACCTACATATAGCATATCCTGCGTTCAGGCGCGTATAGCTATAAGATAAGAGAATTTATCATTAAGCAGTCTCGAAGCTCACTCTTTATCGAATACTAACACAACCAACTGTCCGAATGTTTATATAACCTGTTCTCTATCCAAGTAAATGCATTCACAATATCCTCATACAAACTATCAATACGTAATTCTAGAACCTCAATACGGAGAGCGACTGTCCAAGAGCGTCACGATACGCTTCATCGTACCTGACGTCGTCTGTCTCAAAGACGACGACGAACTCGCCATGATCGTCCGCAACTTCATCGTCCCTCAACTGATTACCGAATCCCTGTGCGAGTATAGGACAGCTCGTGCATGCCAAGATCAATATATTGTTCCGTACTGTGGTGGAAAACCAGGAATTAAGAAACGTCGTCGAAGACGACAGTCAGGAGAGACTCTTCTCGATGTCGATATTGAAGTCAGCTCCGAGGTCAACAACAATACAAACGTACTGCAGGGTAAGATTCGCAAAAATCCTAAGCTTTTTTAATGCCCATTGCACACGAGGCGTCATTTTTCTGACGTATGCTTGCGTAAGCGATTGGTGAGTTTATTGACGCAGCACTAAAGGGTTGCATTATACAAAAAGTGATTTCAAATCAAAAAGTGAAAACATTGCGTTGAATGGATTAATTGCCTTCACAGGATGAATTAGCGCATGTAATGACGCAATTGAAATGACGGCTCGTGAGTGCTGGAGTCGATTTTGTTGTTATACGTGTTACAAATTATTTAACGTGTTCATACCTCAGTCACACCGCAAGACTGACCCCAAACCGACCACAAACCGACCACAAATTTGTGCCAATTCGGGGTGCTGTCGGCAGGGCTTGTTTGCTGTCAGTTTTATGTCGGTTAAGTGTCGGCCTATTGTTGGTTGATTGGCGGGTCCCAGAAAGTGCCGTGGTGTGATTACACATGCTGGAAAGATCTCCCCCGACCTTTTTATCAGAAATCGATCGGGGTCTAGTCGGGGACTGGTCGGGGGCAGTAGTGCAGGGAGGAATTTTGTTTCAAGCATGGAGCAATGATCCTTGCTTTTTGTTTGTTCATGATCATTATATATATGCAGAGTATCTATGTGACATCAATAACAAAAACACTTTTATTTCATTTTCGTCACCCACCTCGTCATCCGCTTCGAGCAGTAATAAATCTTCAGCAAGACGTCAATACCCTCGTCCTCATGATCGAAGATTACGTCATGGAAAACCAACTCATGATCCAAATCGACGATGAAGAGCATCTATCAAGGACGGACTGGTCGATCATGTCATCAAGCTTCGCCTGGAAATGTCCTCAAGGATGGAAGGTCACCGACGTTGGTTGTGGTAAGACCTACTTTATCAATTAAGATCAAACCAAACTATTAATATTATTACAAATAAAAATGATAACGATGGTGAAAATAATGATAATAATAATAATATTAATAATGATAATAATAACACTACCACTAATAATAATGCATGAACTTATAATAATAATAACTCCGCTTTTATATAGCGCTTAATACATCAGTGATGTCTCTAAGCGCTTTACAGATATGTTATTACCTTTACTTTATATATGTAAAAGGCTGGACCTTGCTTCGATGGCCACAACAGAGGCAAGTTTAAGTAGTTACTACGTAATAACTTGCGCTAAAAGGTAAATTGGGATGATGTGATACTTTTCCACTTTGTTATGCAATCTGCTAATTCTACCTCTTACCCCTTCCTCCTGACCTCTTGAAGTCCCGTGCCCACAGGGGTCTTACCAGGACACAGATGGTAACATATGTGAGTTCTGCCCAAGAAATACATACCAGGAGCAACCTCAGCAGACATCTTGCTTAGAGTGTACAGGAGAGAACACCATCGAAAGGGAGGGCACATTCTTCGCAAGTGGATGTAAGATATTATAATATTATGTAACATTGGAGTACTGCATCCTTATGTGAAGCTGTCGTGGCATTTTGGTCAATTTACATAGCGTTCAGTCAAATGGTTGAGTGTTTGAATCGCAGCCCGGCACTAACATTTTGAGGTGGTATCTTGCTAGACATTTATCCAAGTTATCCACTCTCCACCCAGGGTAGATGTGTACCCTGTATGCTACAGAGCTCCATATTTTGGCCGCTCGACCATGACCGGTGTAAAAAATTAAAAGAGCACCAAGACGATTAAGAGCACTATGCGAGAATCCACAACTATCATATTTACAAGACGATTTTTTGTTCTTTTTTTTCTGATACAAATTGAATTTTCGAGAAGTATACCTACGTTTAATTGCAAGTTATCTGTTTCCCTTCACATTAGCGTTACCTTTATTTCCTGACAAAGACGCTTTTACTATTTAATTTTCTTCATCTATAAAAGCATAAACATTTTGTCCGGACGTGAATTTTCCCGGGAATATGATTACTGGATAACCCCTAGACGATTTCGGCATGAAAACAGGGCTTATCTTTATTTTTTCTGAAAAGGAAGTGCACACGCCCCTCTATACACGTAGCTCCTCCAAATGCTTTCATAATCGCAGCTGTCAATTTATAAGTTCATCGATATGTTGCATGTCACACTCATTAAGTAGTCCTTAAAATTAAAAGGGTTTGATATAATTGAAAGGTAAAGTCAATAATAGGTTCTGTATTAAGCTGTCATCCTATCAATTCAATTTCTTCAAGGCTATTCAGTCACGTCTTCTTCAGGCGGACAAGGAACAAGTTTCGCCGGTCTCACTGCCATCTTCGTCATCTTCTGTATCATCCTCTGTCTCGCCCTCCTCTTCATCATCGTCGTCGGCATCATCTACTGTTGCATGCGGAACAAGATCACCCATCGCTTTGCCTCGTCAACACGGAAACGATCTACGAGTAAGCTGCATTACCTCAACGAGGCTTTCGAGAGCGATAATGACACGATGCCGGGCCCTGACATGCGGTATGAGAACAACAGCGGTACGGCGAGGCGGAACGTCTCACGGCAGTTCAGTCGGTCGTCGTTGAGCACGCAGTACGGTTACTCGCAGAGTGATCCCGACGATCTTGCTCTCATGAACTCCAATTTCTCGTTCGGCGCACGCGATGAGGACGGCGGGTTGGTGATGAGACCGGTCGACGGTTCGGGCCGGTCGGAACACGGTAGTCCTGATGGCGGTGAATCCACGAGCTCGCCAGGACCCCCCGAAGAAGGCGGCGGCGGCACATCGCAACCGCCTACCAACCAGGGGGAGAGACGGGATGAGAAGGTTCTTGATGAGAGTACGGGAGAGTACCTGTGGCCTGCACCTCCTTCCCCTCCAAGCCCGCCACCACCACCAGCACAACGAGAAGGTGAGACGGTATTGGATGACAACGGGCCGACCACTAGACTTTGATTTATCAATAAGAATTTATGGTTTTCATAACTTTGTAAATATTACAACATTATATTACAATTATAACTATAATTTTAAACTATACACTTGAATTCCTTTTTGATCTTGTTTGTTTGACAACCTATATATTCTATTTTACATACGTGGCCGCGAGCGAGTATTAAGCCCAAACTGTTAAAGTATATTCTAATGATTTTGTTGCATTGGGACTACGTATATATATATATATATATATATATATATATATATATATATACTTATCAATGTCAGTCAAGATATAATCCATTATGGGGTGTATACATACACATTTTATATATCATTTTCGCGCCGTCTGGATATGGTTAGAACAGGTGAAAAGTCTGAGCCCTTGTCAAGTAGGACAATTTTTTTCCACAGTTTTTGATAATTTTATTATTTCTAAGCTGTATATTGAATTTAATTTTGTAGCAATTTTCTCCCTCTTTTCTCTCGATTGTTTTGTGGGCAACTGTTTATGATAGAACTATTTAGCCTCTGTATGATGATATTAGTTGAGACTCTACTAAATAATTTGACATATTACAGTTCATATTCGTGGGGACAGAAGATACATTTGAAATATGAAAAACTATACTTCCAGATAAATTCAGAAGAGTACCACTTTCCAATTTGTTGCACCAGTTATTGTCGAAGTTGGGTGTTGCTAGAACCAGTTAATTCCAAATTGTACTACTGTACTTAACATGTTTATGCCTGGAACATGCGTACATGTTTGCAATAATTTTGATGAAAATATTGTGCATATATTTTGTTCAACAGTAAATACCCGAAACAGATGTAGGCATTGCCCTCGTGTCTAATATAAGCGGATAAAATACTTTAGCAATTGAAGAATGTTTAGTATACAATGAAATTCTTTTCCGTTAAAGCAGACAGACTTACTGTTATTTTCATTATGTAATCATTATTGTGGATAGTAGTATTTCATTTTCTTTCAATTAATACATTTATATGGCATTAGACATAACGTCAAGTTTTACGTTTCTTTGGTACAGCATTCTCACGACTTTTTCTTGCTATCACGATGTTTAATTCACCGATATTTTTATTCATGGTATTTCATTTGTGATAAATTCATCAAGAATATCACTGTGTACGCAATCGGTTGTAATTATTATATTGTTGGAGGGGTATTACGGAAACATAGTACGAATTTTGTTCTCGAATAAGAAGATTATCATGAAAGAAGGAGAAAGAACAACAACTACAACCATAAACGAGAGAGAGAGAGAGAGAGAAGGAGCCAATTGAGCCATTGAGAGGGCACTAGTATGAACGGGGGGGGGGGTGGCGGTCATATTCATTTTCATTGAATAAGGTGCAAATTAATACCGCCGATTAGGCATATGGGGAACGCTAAATGGATCCTATCATCTTCCATTCTCGTCCTTCTCACTCCTTCATTTCTTTTCTCCCCTGGTTTTTGTTTTGTTAACATTTCCGTCATGTTAGATAAGCAGATTTATCGGGTGCCTTTTCTAGGGTCACTAAACATGATGAACACATCTTTAGATTGATATTATGAATAGAAATGATATAATTTGCATATCATACAAATAAGCTTACGGTATAATGGAAAATTAAGGGGAAGTTAATTTTCCCCATAAAATGGTATGATGTTGGTATATAATCAAAACATCTTAATAAATTTAAAGTAAACAATAATGTTAATAAGGTTCCTAAACGTAGAACAGACATTTTGAGATTATTATTCTGAATTTAACTTGCATAAAAGCGAATCATCTCCAACCATTAAAAAAAAAAGGGGGGGGGGGAGGGCAAAATATTAAAGTCTGTATAAAACGTTGCCTATTATCAACCTTCAATAGCTATATTTAAAATCGTATACATTTTGCGCAGTCCATACGGTATGTATGACATTACAATTTTCCAAATGAGGGCATATCAACACGAAATTCCTAAACTTTTCATTGTTCATTTCCTACCGCTTTGACGTTCTGACTTCTAGGCCTTTCAATAAATTTTATGCCATTAAACCCAAACGTGCCAAATGGGAAGAAGAAATGGAGCGTGTCATACGGTAAGCTTTGAAGAAAAAATACCAAACCTCGGTTTCCTCAGATGATGGAGGAATAATATTCATTATGGACGCATCATAATCTCTTACAGGAAATTAACATTTCATTGTCACTCAGGGAATTAACAGTGGCGTAGATACAGGGGAGCATGGAACACCCCCCCCCCCCCATCCATCGAACGGGAAACGGAGAAATAAGGGAGAGACTGGAGGAGAGAGAGAGAGAGAGTGAGAGAGTGAAAGAGAGAGAGAGAGAGAGAGAGAGAGGGGGAGAGTGAGAGAGAAAGAGATAGAGAGAGAGAGAGAGAGGGGGAGAGTGAGAGAGAAAGAGATAGAGAGAGAGATAGAGAGTTTGTGTGCGTTTGTGCGTTTTTTGTGTGTATGTATGTGACAAAGAGAGAGAGAGAGAGAGAGAGAGAGAGAGAGAGAGAGAGAGATGAAGATGTGGAAAAAGGAACATGAATGAAGTTGACACCCCTTCTACTGTATATTATGTTCTTTCCCAAAACGGTGAAATTGTTTATTCACATTTCATGTACCAATTTAGAGTGATCGGTGCCTTCTAAAGATGCCAGCTCGCCCCCCTCCCCCCCCCCCCCCCCCCCCGCCCCTCACCAGAAAATGACTAGGCCTTTGCTATACCACTAAGGCATTTTATTGCTCGGTCATTTATCCATGGCTAGGGACGCTATAAGTGCAATAAGCATTTAATCTACAATTTCCAAAGCTGACAGGTTTATTGCTTGCATTATCGGTAAAGGTAAAGACCAGTTATGGTCATGCGATTGCATTGTGAAAGAAACGTTGTAGAATCGATCAGAAAAGGTTGATCATCTAGCATCTAGCATCTGCAAGGTTCTGGAATCATCAAAATGATAAGAAACCTGGCCCATTCTTCGTAAAGTTACAAGCACTATACACAGAAAGATGACGGGACTACCCTATATCTCTCACAGTCCATGAGAGAAACACATTTACCAAATATATGAATTAGTAGGCGGTTTCCCGGCAAATTTTTTATCATCATGTATTAGTCAAAACATATTCTTTCACATGATTGGTAATGAGAGCTTCCATTTCATTTTTTGAAATTGGGGCGTTTCCAATACTGGTCTTTACCTTTAAGTGTTTAAAAAACAAATATGATTGAGACCGATCCAGGAGCTTTCGCTAGGGAAAGGATGGGATTGGGAAATGTCACTACGTTCTGTTGGCACATTTATCTTTTAAAAATCAATTATGATTTGTTTCTTTTCTTGCATTATCTTTGGTTGTAGGCAGTGACTCATCTTTCTGAGGGGTTCTTTTAATCACTATACGCATCCAATTGAGTTGTAAAGAAAATAGAAAATATGCAAATATGAAGTGCGTTAACTTTGTCGTGTAAAAATAGACGAGTGGGGAAATAAATAACTTGGTTTGCTTTGTTTGATTGATTTTATTTCTGCGGAAAAAAGATACAAATTCAAATTCAAATTTAAAGTACCAAAATTCGAACAATTAAAAATACGATAAATAAAATGTTTACAAAAGTAATTAGGCCTAAATAGAAAACCATGTACAATTAAATCATACAATAAACATGTATGAAGCATACAAAAAAGATAAGAAATATATAGTAAATATTTTAAAATAAATTAGAAATGTAATTTAGAAAGCAGTAGTAGTAGTAGTAGTAGTAGTAGTAGTAGTAGTAGTAGTAGTAGTAGTAATAGTAGTAGCAGTAGCAGCAGTAGTAGTAGAAGTAGTAGTAGGAGTAGTATATAGTAGTAGTATTAGTATTAGTATTAGTATTAGTAGTAGTAGTAGTAGTAGTAGTAGTAGTAGTAGTAATAGTAGTAGCAGTAGCAGCAGTAGTAGTAGAAGTAGTAGTAGTAGTAGTAGTAGTAGTAGTAGTAGTAGTAGTAGTAGTACTAGTAGTAGGAGTAGTATATAGTAGTAGTATTAGTAGTAGTAGTAGTAGTAGTAGTAGTAGTAGTAGTAGTAGTAGTAGTAGTAGTAGTAGTAGTATTAGTAGTAGTAGTATCAGTATCGGTACCAATTTTCAGGATTGATGTTGAGGTCATAGGAGGTCATACAATGTTTCTCAGCCTTCACCATCCCAGGCCCACAAGATGATTTGTATCTCTATTCTAGTGATGAGCTGTTTTATCTGGCAACGAACCAAGACACTTTCCCTTCCAGGATGACTCTAGGACTGGATCGCTTCCTTTTGAAACATCATCTATCTACGTGAGCGGGGAGAGATGGAAATTGATTGAAAGAGTGAATGTGAGAGGGAGGAAGTGAGGGAGGGAGTGAGAGAGGGAGGGGGAGGGAGAGAGAAAAAGATAGTACGAGAAATTGAGAGAGATAACATCCAAGGCATCACCAAGCCTGCAATCCGTCGACTTGAAAAACAGAGAAAGGGGAGTGAGAGAAAGAGAGAGAAGAGAGAGAGAGAGAGAGACAGAGAGAGAGAGAGAGAGAGAGTAGCCGATATATTATCATCATTATACCTCTATTCGCAAAGAAATTGTTGAACATGAATTCTTTTATCTTTTTATCTCGAGTATATAAGAGGAAATAGTAAAATTCGAAATGTATAATCATCAAGGGAAGAATTATAATATCTGAAAAAACAATATATGAGCGCTCAATCCGTGGCAGAGTTCTATTTCAATTCCTTCAACTAATTAAGTACATTATCCTTATTAAAATAAAACATTCCTCCTTCCTGAATGCTTTGTCTATCATTACCCAGGAATCACAATTAGCAGCCAGTCATTAATGTATTTAATGGATTCGTTATGATTATAGATGCAACTTCGCCACTATGGTAATTTGCATTTCTTCTGAATTATTACTCTGCTCGCACTTATCCTCTAACTTCTCAAAATTGCGTTGACTCGAGCTGATGCAGATGCATCATCATCGCATGATGTAGATGAAGTGAGAATTGTAAAAGCGCGCGTTACACAAAATCCCAACTCCCTATTTTCTCGGTCGTGCGCACAACGACAAAATGGGCTGAAGCGACATGTTCAGTTTGTCATCTCGCGTCCCCGCCTCTCTGTCTCATACTCCGGAATGACCTGGGATCACGGTCTGCTGCAGAAGCTTGATCAGAGACCTACAATTTAATTCACTCCTCCATCACG